GTAGTGTTCTACTGACAGTGACCTTTGAAACTGTGGTCCCAGCTCTCTTCATGTCATTGACCAGCTCCTCCCTTGTAGTTCTGGGCTGATTCCTCACCTTTCTTATCATCAGTGATACCCCACGAGGTGAGATCTTGCATGGCGCCCCAGTCTGAGGGAGACTGACAGTCGTCTTTAGCCTCTTCCATTTTCTAACAATTGCTCCAACAGTTGATCTGTTTTCACCAAGCTGCTTGGCAATTGCCCCGTAGCCCTTTCCAGCCTTGTGGAGGTCCACAATTTTGTCTCTGGTGTCTTTTGACAGCTCTTTGGTCTTGCCCATGGTAGTAGTTGGCGTCTGACTGACTGTGGGGTGGACAGGTGTCTTTAAAGAGCTCAGACAGGTGCTACTAATTTAGATTAATGAGTGGAGTAGAGGTGGACTTTTTCAAGGCACAGTAACAGGTCTTTGAGAGCCAGAATTCTTGCTGTTTCTCAGGTGTTCAAATACTTATGTTCAGCAGTGCAAGACAAATAAATTCTTTAAAAATCATACAATGTGATTTTCTGAAATTATTTTTTTTATTCTGTCAGAGTGGGAATGCACCTACAATGTGAATTTCAGACCCCTCCATGATTTCTAAGTAGGAGAACTTGCAAAATCGCAGGGTGTTCAAATACTTCTGTTCCTCACTGTATAAAGGATGACTTAAAAGCAAGACCCATTTAAAAAATAAAGTTATCATTCACTCACACCATTACTCTTTATCCAGATGCCATTGTGGGATGTAAACTTTGAATACACAGAAACACAAAATTTCCTATAAAAAAACACTTACTGACAAAATAACTTCTAATAAACAAATAATCTTTGTGGTCTTGCAGGTTGTTTCCACCAACAAACAAAACAGTAGAGTGGTGTGTTGACACTAAATGGGACGATTGTGGTTCAGTGGGTAGAGCAGTTGCCTCCCAAACGGATGGTCGGAGGTTTGAATCTCAGTGCCTGCAGTCCACGTGTCAAAGTGTCCTTGGGCAAGACACTGAACCCCCAAGTTGCCCCCGATGGTTAGAGCCATCGGCTGAGTTTGCGCTGCAGATGGCTGCCTCAGTTCTGTACCGGAAACATATTCCTTGTATGTGTAACATACTTGGCCGAATAAAGGTGATTATCCTTATCCTTACCCATTTCCTATATGGTTCCACCTGCATATACATAGATAACAAACTGTAAGTGTGTTTTCTAACAATCAACAGTTTGCATTTCCAAAACCTCTGAACTAACGGTTTTCTGCTTTTTGTCACTTTAGTGTATTTGGTTGAGAAGTAAAGGCCACATATCTGAACCAAATTGACAGCTGGGCAATGTCAAATCCATTGTGAGAGTGTGTTTTCATTAGTGCTCACAGACATGACAGACAAAGTAGTACTGCATAAAGTCCACTGTACCAAAATGCACAGAATGTTTTATATTGCCTGGTACAGCAGTAACTTTACTGACACACACACACACACACACACACACATAATGTCTTAATCAAAACAAGCTAGGTGTAACATATGAAACAATGTAATCACAATCAAATCTGCACAGACCCGAACAAGTCACTTTGTGTTCTGTTGATTGTTTTTAGCATTTTAAGCGACACACTTTGATCACTTATGATTTCTCTGATGGGACAGAACTAGAAGATCCCTACACCAGAACAGGTGGTGCTTCCTCTATCCATAATATCCATATAAAGGGACACTGATTTTCATGATGCAGTCTTACCCTGACTCACTCATCTTCCTGGGTCATCTCTCTAAGGCACTCCTTCAAGTTTTCCACCCTCTCTGCTGGAGCAGTCTCTATTGTCTGCTCCAGCAGCTCCAGACCTTCCACCTTTGGGGCATTGTGGCGGTAGATGAACCCGCTCAGCTGGTTGCCGTGGCAGCTCGGGGAAAGTATGCCACACAAAAAACGTAGGAACATGTCATAGTAGCCCAGCTGGGAGCTGAAGGTTCGTGCCAGTGCACACTGGACCAGACCTGCTGCTGATTTGGTTGGATACTTGGATGTGGAGAACTTGTGCAATGGTGCAGCGTCCAGAACGTTCTTTGACTCCGTGCGGAACATCGTAAAGACATACAAAGCAGCCATGAATTCCTGGGAGAAAGAGGAAGTATCATGACTTTTAGATGGCTGCTATCAACTAAAAATACTATGAATGGCATTCATGTTATAATTAAAGTACACAGCAGTCTAAAAACTAGGGATGTGCCCATCCACTTTTTTTGGCCCCGATACAGATCTTATTCCTTGTATATTATTAAGAATATGCTCACATTGATCCAATACTTATATTTACCCATGGTAAATTTTCTTTAAATATCTGACATGTTGAAAAAATTTTCTGGCACACTGTTTTTCAGGAGCTTCTTGATCCAAATACTGAATCAGGTCCTGGTTCCAAATTATTAAGTTTATTATTAATATGAATAAAACAATAAGTGGGAGCTGGAAAAGACGCTCTCAGAACTACAGATTCATTACAGGGCAGATACTAACTACTACTTGTATCTGTATGTTGAACACAGTTTGTGTAAACAGTCCAATTTAGCAGGTATATATGCCAGTATGTAGAAACAAAGCAGAATTTAACACAACTTAACACAACCTTCCTTAAACGTGACACTTCAA